ATTATTATTATTATTATTATTATTATTATTATTATTATTATTATTATTATTATTATTATTATTATTATTATTATTATTATTATTATTATTATTATTATTATTATTATTATTATTATTATTATTATTACTATTACTATTTAACTATTTACCTTAAGTATACTTTATTAAAATGCTAAGATATTATTAATAACTCGTCGACCCTTAGGGCTTTTTTAATAGCTAGAAGTTCGATCTTATAAGTATTATACTAAACGACCCCGGGCTATAAAGAGACTATAAAGGCTATTTTTCTTTTATAAATAAGCTAATTCCTTTAGGGTCCGGCCCGCTTTATTAAGTACTATCTTTATTTTTATAAATAAGGTAATTTATTAAAATTAATATTAAGTTTTTATTACGTACTTTAATAAGACTTTATAATTAATAATAGCTAGCTATAACTAGTCTTAGTTAGTATAATTAATATAGTTATTATTAATTATTAATACTAACTAAACTTAAAATATTAATAATCTTATTATTATAATATATTAATTACCCTCTAAATAGCTAAAAACTACCCCCTATTTTCTACTCTATTTAATAACTCTAAAATATTTTTTTTAATTTTTTAATTTTAGTTTTATATTACGTTTTTAAAATATTAATAATAGTTTAGAATTAATTAACTAATTTTAAATTATTATATTATATAGACTAAGTATTAATTAAAATAATAATTATATTAATAAATTTGTTTTTTAAATATTTAAGTTAATAATATTTAATTAGTATTTTTTAAAATAATCGTATTATAATTCGGAATTTTTTAATATAATATTTATAAAATTAAAGTTTTAATTATTAAAGAAGTCTTAGGGGTCGATAATAACTAAGAGTCTTACTATTTTAATAATATATATTTAAAATATCCTTTAGGGTCCGGTCCGCCTTATTAAGGGCTATTTTTACTTTTATAAGTAAGCTAGCTTATTAAAGTTAATACCAAGTTTTTATTACGTACTTAATAAGACTTTATAATTAATTATAGCTAGCTATAGCTATTACTAATTATTAATACTAATTAAACTTAAAACATTATTAATAACCCCGCTATTATAGTATATTAATTACCCTTTAAATAGTTAAAAACTACCCCCTATTTTTAACTTTTTTTAATAGTTCTAGATTTCTTTTTATTTTTTAAAATCTTTTTATTTTATTATAATAATATTAAATATTAATAATACTTAGAAATTAGTTAAGTATTTTAAGATTATTATATTATATAAGCTAAGTATTAATAATAATAATATTTATAAAGATATATACGTCTGTTTAAATTTTTAAATTAATAATAATTAGTTTATACTCTTTTAAATAATCTTTTTATAAATCGGGATTATTAAGTATAATATTAATAAGATCGAACTATTAGCCCTTAAGGTATTTTTATAAGTTAATAAGTTAGTGTTTTAGTATTTTGAATATTTTTTAAATAGCGTTTTTTAATTTTAATAAAGGAAACGAGGTAATAAATATATATATATATATAAATAAAGTTAAAAGTATTAAGGTAAATACTGTAAGATTAGTATTATTTTTAATAATAATAACAAGGGTATTTTTAATATTATATTATTATAAGCTATTATTATTTAAAAAAGTAATAAACTTAGTTAAGTAAGCGGCTTATAAAATAATAGCGTTAAGTACTTAATATTACTGTTAATTAATCTATAGTTATAATCTTTATAAAAAAGAGAGTTAAAAAAGTAAACAATTTAAAAAAAAATAGTTTATTAAAATAATAGGAGTATTTATTAATACTATATATTAATATTATATAATTAATATTAAGAATCGCCCGAGTAACTAACATATAGTATTAATAAATACTCTTATTATCTTAATAAACTATTTAAAAGTAGAAAATTTAAATAAATATTTAATTTAAATAATATATTTTTATATTAAAAAATATAAGCCTAGCTCTTTTAAATCATTTTTAAGTATTTCTTTTTTAGTTACTTTAAAAAAAACAAAAACAAATACTCTCTCTTATTACTATATTAAAATCTAAACTTTTAATATTCTTTTTTTTAATAAGCTGCTATATATGGGTTATTTATTATTAAGTAAGGCTAGTAAAGACGGGGTGTGTTTAGAAGTGACTCCGGCTACTTGGTACTAAAATAATAGCAATGGTTCTGCCAAAATGAAAATGCCGGCGTGGGGGATTATTCACCATAGATGGTTTTCCGTTACCCGCCATTCACACCGAGACTAAGTCGCATTGCATGTCGATCTCATGCTCACATGCACCCACCGCATTTTTGAACCTCGCTAACGCTAGATTTGGTTGGTGGAAGGCACATTACTCAATCACATGTTGTGGATTCTGTGCATATCTCAGCTTGGATGAAGAAGAAAGCTCAGATGGCTTTCGAGGACCGATTTCAGAGCTTAGTCAGCATCACTTCGAACAAGAATAGTAGAGATTAGCTCTGGTCGATTCAGAAATGCCTACCGCTGAGAAAAGTCGGTAAAATTCGGACGAGCTGCATGAACTCGATGTGGAAGTCTTTTTGATGCACGAGAAACCCTGGGAAAGGTCGGAAAGCCATTATCCATCTTTGGAAGTTTCATAAGTGAGTACATTCAACTCCCCTGCGGTAGGCGTATCATTTGAAAGTTATGGCTGTCGTGGGACCCATAGGTTCTGTCGGATTCTATCAAGCAGCATGTCAAATGCAGTCTTGAGTTGAAGTTTCATCTTTCGTTCATAAGCTATTAAGCCTGTATGTAAAATGGTGTGCAACATGACCAAGCTGCGGTATGCACGTCAAGAAGATGGTGGTGATCGCAATACTCGCAGGGAACTGGTGGGGAAGTCTGCGAATCTTGGACTGATAGCTGACGTTTACCCCTATGCTGCCCAAGACGTAAGAGGCGGCATCTATCAGCGAGCGGTGATGCGATGAAGTTAGCCTCCTTGAATGGAAAGTCTTACTTACCGCGAAACAGTCTCACTCTGGAGTCTGGTCTACTAGTGCAAGTGCAGTAAGAGTGTAAGTCAAAATCTATGCTGAGTAACGAAATAGAGAACCACTGGAGCTTGTGGCAAGCCTTGACAACCAGCTGGCCCTTGATTGGTCGTAAGGCAGCGTGCGATGGGCATTAACAAGCATGAAGTCACTTGAATCTGCCGAAGGATAATGGAGCTGATATTCCTCAGGAAGCTTTCTAGTGAAGCAGCGAGTATCCCAGTCTCGCCGACAGCTAATAGAGTGGACTGGTGATGCAGGCAATTTATTGCCGAGTCAACTGCTCTGGCTCGGGGAACGACTCTGAATATCGTACACAAAGAAGAGTTCAGATGGTCCTCGTCGGAGAATTTGATCAGGGTTGCCTCGAATTCTATGCCAGCCGCTTCCAGGCCCTGTCGAGCCGCGCACATCAGGATGGTCGGCGGTGCCAACGACCGGTCTCCGCCACTGGACTGTGCATCCTGACACCCACCTCATTGGTTGAATCCTTGACAAAAATTGCCTTTTTGAAGAGGCAGATAGCATAATAGCATAATAGACTTCGGGCAACACGAACTGCTCATGCTAGGTATCTTCGAAGAACGAACTGTTGGAGACGGAGCACCGGAATGACGCGATCCATTGGGGAAGGTCAAAATCAGTAGGCAGAGTGGGAAGAAACTGGTCAATCAACGGACCGTAGCTTTCGAAGGTATGCAGATACGACTACTTAAAGGATGTTCTCCTCGACCTTTATCAATTGATCTATCTCCATATTCATCATCATCACTCATCTTTCATCCTTGGTCTTTCCTCGACCTAATACCTCTTTATTGCTTGTAAGACGGTCATCAACAACATATACTTATATACCGAAAGAAGATAACCCCCGAGAAACCTTGGTTTAGTTATACTGTCAGGTACACAATGCGCTTCTCCAAGTCTCTTATCATCATGGTGGCAGCGACCATGGGTGCGAATGGCGCGCCATCTAGCATCGACTCACGCGAGCAAAGGTACGTGGCGATCATAAACTCGTTGACCTAGGATATCAAGCTAATATGACGTAGCGCTATTATTCAGCCAGCCCTTGTGACTCGACAGGCTCCTCCAGCTGTTCCAGCTGCTGCTCCTCCTGCTTCTGCTCCCGTCACGCAGGCAGAAGGCGACAAGAAGGGGGAAGACAAGAAGAAGGGCGATGGCGAGGGAGACCGCAATGGGGCGGACCGTGACGGAGACCGTAACGGTGGTGACCGTGGCGGACGTGACGGAGATCGCGACGGCGACCAAGACTGCCGTGCAGAAGATCGTGGGCGTGACAGAGACGGAAGATCGTGTTGTGTGCGAGGAGGACGTGGAGGAGGGCGCGATGGTGACCGCGAGGGCGATCGTAAGGTGGCTCGCGAGGACCGCAATGGAGATCGTAACGGAGATCGCGATGGTGACCGCAGCGGCGGTGATCGAGGTGGACGGGATGGTGACCGCAATGGTGACCGTGAGTGCTTCCGGGATGGTGATCGCGGTGGTCGCGGTGGCGATGGTGAGAGACGTCCTCCTCCTCCTCCCCCGGCCGGTCCTCCGGGCTTCCCCGCTCCGTTCCCCGCCCCGGTCCAACCCCGCCCCGGTTTCCCCGGCGCCTACCCCCCTGGCTTCCCTGGCGCGTTCCCTCCTGGACCTCCTCCTCGTGGCCCTGATGGAGATCGAGATGAGGACAAGAAAAAGCCTGCCGAGGACAAGAAGCCTATCCCAGCATAAATCATTATTCCCCCTGATTGTCGACTGACTGGTTGTACTCACTTCCGGTTTAAGGGTATTTTGATTCTTGAAGGAAGATGTTGACGGTGCAGTACAAGGTCCCACCCATTGAGTGCAAACTCAATGTACAACAGGGTGCGATTGGAATTGAAGAATACGAAGACAATAGTTAATCATTGTTTAGTTGTTTAGTTTAGTATGAAATACGATGCGCGCAAGCTGATCACATATAAAGTCTGCTTTAGTTACTTTAACTAATCAAACCCTTGTCCAGACATGCTTGCAACGTCGGATACACCAAAGTCGAGTCTCGTGGTGCTTCAATCTGTTCACATGGGGAAAGAAGTTTCTATTCGGAGGTTCTGAAGAAGAGGAGGAGGACCTAGGTGGCAGGTTTTACACGAGACGTATTGCTCCCAGTTATTCTTCAGGTAAATAGTAAAAATCATCGAATTGCTGCCGGATTGTTGAGGGCGACAAATGATCTGATAAAGTACAGCCTGGCTCCATCAACGAATGGCGGCCGGTAGCGTCATGCATAACCATAGTCTAGTCCTCCCGCCTGAGGGGAAAGAAACCCCAAAAAACTGCCCATCGAGACAAAAGGGCAAGTCGTTCATCTTGAATCTGAGTCAGTTAGAGTCAGAGCCGGCAAGCGTTACGGTGGGTAGTAAGTAAACACACACAAGAGGGGGTTTGATAAGGAACCAACATCACACACTCCCATCGGTATAGAAATGATATTCTAGGTCGCAAGGTTTGTACATGCCCCTCAGCACGTGTGGAGCTATAATATGAACAAGAATATAACAGCCATCATCCACCGTAACCCTCACTTCCTTCCGTATTTAACGATATACCTAGACAGAAGGCCAGCCGCCGGACCACGAGATGACATTCCAGCCAAATAGAGTTTGAGAATCGGCATACCCAACGTCGGTGTTCACTAAAATAGTTAGACTTGATAGCGCATTGAAGCCAGAATTGACTACTCACTATAGTGATAGTAGAGGACCGCACCACGCTTGGGGTCAACCAAGACGCCTTGGCCACCGGGAGCATATATTTTGTTATGAGATGGAAGAAGAAGGGTGCCACCGCCGGCCAGGCAGCTCTTGCCGCTCTTGTCGGTGTAGGGGCCATTGACAGAAGAGGCACGACAAACGAAAATCTTATACTCGTTTCCGGGGGTCGGGCGGTTAGCGTCGAGACCGCAGCAGGAGCCTGAGCTGAAGAAGGCCCAGAAGGTGCCGCTGCGCTCGTAGACGAAGGCACCCTCGACAGGCTGAGGGGCAGTGGTGTTCAGAATGATGTTGTATGGATTACCGTTGGCTTTGGTTGCAGCCGCATTCAGAGGCACTTGGAAAATGTCCTGCCAAAAGGAGCCAAAATTCAGGAAGTAGTTGCTACCGGACTTGACGAGCTGAGCATCGATGGCATTGTAGCGGCTGCCGGCTGAAGAAGCGACCCCGGTGGCGCCATGATCAGTCCAGGAGCCAAACTCCATGGTGGTGGAGGTAGCATAACCGATGGCCGAGTTTTGAACGCCGAAAGAGGAGACGGTGTAGTACAGAATGTACTGATCGCCAACTTTGTTCACATCAGGAGCCTATCCGAGACAAGATCATGAGTGTGTGCTCTAAAGGGCCGACAGTTTTTCCAGTCTCGTCGATTCTGACCCCGTTTATTGATGGCTAGACGGAAGATCGAACCCTTCAACCGGAAGGCCGAGAAAAGTGAAGGTACGAAAGGGAGACAAGGAAGGCTGGACCAGACATACCCAGAGATCATCATTGCCCTTGAGATTGATCTTGCTACCCGATGGCAAGGCAGCTCCTTGGTAGGTCCAGGGGCCTACCAAATCGGGAGCCTTCCAAATACCGATCTTGCTGCCAGTTTCGAAACGAAAATAGGTGCCATCATCGCGACGGACAACGGAAGGGTCGTGACTCCAGCACTGGCCGGAGCAGGCTCCCGGATTACCGTAAGCCTGAACGGTGGCGCTCAGCAGCGCAGCTGCGAGTGAAAAGATGGAACCGAAGCGCATGATAGAGACCAAATTGTTCGACACAGGCAGAGGAACAGTTGACGCTATGCACTGCTGGAAGAGAGTGACTAGCAGAGAGATAACTTGGGAGTGCTTGAAGAGAAGAGGTTCGCGAGGAACATAATAAGAGAAACTTTAAAGTAGGACGGGAACATGGAACCGGTTGCCATCTCTGGAAGGAACCGAGATCTCGCCATCCGAACTCCATCACGGAGGGTGATACCGGTACACGATAGTGTACATCGTTCCAGGCTGGGGGAGCTCGACTGGCCCTGGGTAATAATGTGCCCTTCGGCTTGATTGGCGGAATTCGAGCTCGCTGTCTGCGGCAGGCCCTTGTGGGCGGCGTGAAGATAAAGACGGGCAATATACTTGGAGCAGAGCCTAGGATTGACCCGGCCAAAGAGATGAAGGGGTGGTTCAAGGTGGTGCGGTGGACCGATACCTATTGCATGGCCAGACGGCGTCTTCGGCGGGCTGACCATTGACTTAAGTCACCAACAAGCTGCCTACGAACATACGAAGTGTCCGTATCTGATGGAATCGGGGCAAATAAGCAACGAGGGATGGGCAAATGAAAGGATAATTAGGCTATGACGGCTTTAAGCGAGTAAGAAACTGCCATGCGTGCCGTCGTCTGTGGGTAGCAAAGTTCAGATTAACGGAAACCTTGGAGAGTGGGAAGACCGTAAACGAGCTGGCCAGACAAGGTACAGTAGTGTATTGGATTGTCGAAAACTGGCTCTCCGAATGGTGCGCATGAGAGGATGAGACCGGTTGACAAGGGAATTCCGAGTCTTGAAGGGTAAATTTGGGGCTGGTGAGTGCCGGCCGTATGCAGCCTGCAACCCTCTGCATGAGAAGGGCCGTCTAAAGAGCAGACGAACCCCGCGATTCAAGTCCCGTCACGATGGAACTCGCGCGGAATCTTTCCCCTATTGTGTTCAAGTAACTGTACAGATAGGCTCTATGCGTCGAAGAGTCTATCACTGCAGAGCATCCAACCATCCATAGACTGTGTTCGTGAACAGATAGACGACCGCAACAAGCGCTCACATCAAACGGAAGTATCCGCATCGAAGGAGAGATTGATCGTGATGAAATCACCGGAAATTGGAAGGGTTGAACTCTTGTGCATTGAAACTCCTCCAAGAAGCCTCATTACCCTTGCGATGGTTTGTTGTCCGAAGCTCTCTGACCAAGACCTTGTCTTTATGCAGGGATAAGACGGAATTCGCCATCGTCAAGCAAATGGGTGAAGAAAATAGGGGAGTTCTGCCCGCCATGGTGGCATTACATCTGGAGCCGAAGGGGGTCCGAAGCGAGCGGCCCAGAGAAAAGGGGGCTTGGATTGTGCCCAAGTCTCCAGGTTCAGGTCGCCTACCTCCCTTGTATTGTTTTCTTTTTATTTCGCACTCCCCTTTCATCCTAGGTCTGGTCGTCGTACGCAGTATGTGCCTGTGTCAGAATTAAGCTTCATTTTGGGGCTTGATATCCGTGTGCAACGATGCATCCATATCCATATCCATATCCACATCGAGAGGCTTAAGCTGTATCCGTAGACTGTACGCATACCTATTCGCCGTCTGCTCCATGTCTCGGTTGTTCGTCCGGATCAACGCGATCAACACGATCAGCGGTGTCCCTGTGGGCGAGGGAAACAACGTGTTTGCCGTGCTCGGCAGAAAAACCTACGTACTATGTATGTTATTCAGTGGAGTTTGGTAACGTGATGGGCAGAACCCCAGTTCACACGGGCCATGGCAGGGAGTAAGAAAGTCTCCGTTGGCCGTCACCTTGGCCTTTGTCGGAGGCTCGGAGGCTCGGAGGCTGGGGCCAATCAGCCCCGATCTACTCCGCAGAGTCAGATTATCAAAAGTAAAAAACCAATATCCGTACCGTGTCCTCATGATAAATTTAAGCGGCTACGAAGAAGGCAACTGACTTTGGCTTCCAGGCGATGAGAGCCTACTTGACCACACATGAAGGCGACTTGTGGCTAACCTTCGGGAATGGTATCGATGTGTTGATCAATCACTGATACCGACCACCTCATCGTCGGGCTTTGGCATCCAGCTTGGACTCGGAGGATCGGGAAATAGTTTGGCGTTGTGAATTTTGGCTCATGGGTGGGCGAAACTGTGGGCGACGATTGGGAATAAGATGGACACCGCGTGGGTTTGGAGGAGGTAAATATTCCGAGCAGCGTCTCCCATAAGATGATGGCTCCACTCCTTGTCAATAGTGTACGGGGTACGGATACGGGATACATATATGGTACGAGTATCTGTGTTATGGTGTTCATAACTTCATATCCATTTTCAACAAAAGCAGCATCACGCTGAAGCCGTCTTGAGCGCCGTGCGCGGGCCCGCCCGCTCCCTTTTTCACTAAATCTTCGCCCTAATGAACGGACAAAAAAAGGGAGGGGAGGAACCGGATCTATTTACTCCGTAAAGGGGACATTCGGGTGTCAGAACCGGAGAGCTCAAGCGGACTGCGGTGGATTGTCCCGCTCAATCGGCGGACAGCCCGAGGCTGTCCATTCTAGATGTCATCAGCCATTCCCGAATCACCCAGATCTTGCGGCGTGTCAGCCGGAGCTCGACGGACAAAGGGCCGGTGTCTAGCCACCATTGTCCATGTCGGCCCTCCTTCGTGTTGGCCCCAGCCAACACATCCATCTCGAAGCTGCGATGTCACGGCCGCCAAGGGATCATCATTGCGTAGTGGCGGCCATTTCATCATGCGTTCACATCTCCGATCTGTACGTATATTAGGTTGGTCCCTTTGCGAGCCAACTGAGCCTGCTGCGACATGGCTTTGAGGGATACTTATGCCGTCAAAAACCACAGCTCCCACTCGAGGGCTGACTCTTGACCCCTCCAGTTCGGACCCTACATGTGTGGATGGTTCAGAGCTAGAGGGCGTGGCTTGGTTGATTAAGAAAGTGTATGGCAACGAGCTTCTTGTTACGGGTTTACCGGGGCCCTGCTGTCTCGTTGGTCTGACGGATCCCTGGCTACAGTAGGCTTCGAATGCTCGCACTCTGGATAGCCGCAAAGAAAAAAAAAAGGGGGGGGGGGGGGCTTCATGGCGTTGCAGGAATGTGATGCGGATGCAGCCTGGCGGAGGTTACAGTTTGAGGCACGCCCGGTGGTTGAATCCTCATGTTCGTACGAATATGGCGTCGCAATCACAGATTCATAGTGGTTTTGATTCTGTATCTGTACCAAGTTCTATTGTAGCTTGACTGAGCGTGCAGCCTTGCGAAATGCACAAGCACCAGTGCCACCAGACATCAAGCTGTATGTTGAAAGACATGTAGGTCAGGAACGCGTAAGTCGTGGCACAAACTAAACTCTACACATAATAATCCTACTCGCCTACCTACCAGGTGAGAAGTGTCACGGCTCACCTGCGAGCAGGGTCCACACGCCGGACCCACTGGTTCGAGGTCAGGGCGGAGGGGGCAGGGCTGCTATCGTCGATGGATGCCATGTGGCCATGACTGATCGGCAAAGAGTCACGGACGCACGCAGTAGTTTGTTAGTTTAGGGTCCAAGACTCCAAGGGCCCAGGGCCCAGGGGAGGAAGGGGGCGGGGGGAGAGGAGGGGAGGGACTTGGGACATGAGGAACCCGGCGCTCTGGATCTGTTACGTTACCAAGAGCCGTCAAAACTAACATCTGCAAACTCATCGTGTACCCATATCTTCAAGCTTCTTCCCCCATTGTAAAGTCGCTGTTTCCAATGGCTCCTACGCCATATCTATCGGTTATCCATGATCCTGGGGGCTTCAACTTTTGGCAATCCTTTGAAACCAATTCCGCTCGGACTTGTTCCTGGCACAATCAAACCAGGAGCTATATGCTGTACGTTAGGGTGAATAGTCTGACGGAATACGCCCGCCGTTTTCGCGCGACGGCGTTTGGAGGGTGATTTGGGCTTGCCTTGTTAGTGCTGACCAGGACGTGCCGCCCATCTCATGATGGCTGGGACGAAAGCACGGCACAAAGAAACGTTCATCGGGAGGAGTAGACTTTCAAGAAGTCCAGGAGCCACTTGATCAACTATGTTGAGTTAACTTTGGGTTTTCCAGCTGTCTAACCTTTGCTGGCCTTCCACGGTAAACAATAGGGGTGACAGCCTGACCGGGTCCTGCGAAATGGTGACGACAGGGTTTCCGGCCGAGAGTTGGGGTGCAGCTCACAAACTCCCACATGGTGAGATGCTGTAGTGCAGCTGACACGGAGGACACAATGCAAGAGATGCGGCCCTTGAGAACCTTAGGCGATATCGAGAGGACGTCTGCGCCTTGCGTCCAATAGACAGCGGGCTGCGCCAGTCTCCCCTGGATGGATGGAGGCATCCACACATGTTCAACTGGCATGGCAAGCTGGGAGAGGTGCTGGTAGGCTATTTGATGTTGCGTTTGTACTCCGTACGGATAAAACATGAAGACTGGTACAGAACCAACCCAACCGAGGCGAACCGCGAACATTGGGCCAAGTTCCTGAATTGCGTCTGGCAGCTTCTAGATGCGGACAAAGAAGCGATGCAGTGGGAAATTTGACATGGGGAATGCCATTAGTTGTCGTGGCTGTCTATACCTACGACCTACTCCGTACACTACAGGCTACCAGTCTCTGGACCTTGAGGGACTGAGCATCACATATATCAAGTCAATCTCTAGCCTTGGGAAGCTGAGCAGTCACAGGTTTCCTCGGTTCATATCAGGAAGCTGAGCAGCGATCGCGCGCCTTGGAGATTCGGACCAAGTCCGGATAGTTGTCCTTATCCGTATGTACTACGTACCCCATACACCCAAGATGGATACTCAGCATGACGGCCAAATTTGCCTGCATTAGTGCAATTGCGACTGCAAGGGGCATGTCCTTTGTGATCGCTGATAAGGGGCCAAGGGCGTCGGGCTTGCAACGGTTTCTGTTAATGAGGACCTTCTCTGCAGCGTTGGTACTTTTGACTTTTTCTGTGTTTTCATTTCTTTTATTTCCGCACAAGATGGGAAAAGGCGGTTGAAGAATGAGGCATAGCGCGTGTGGAAATACAACCTGGAAACAGCAGGCCAAGCTTGCGTAGTGGTACATAGGTATCCGTATATAGAGGGGATTTACCCCTAGATTGTGACGCTCGTTGCCATTCTCACTAGCCCTCTTGTGTTTGCTATTTGCCTGCATGGGTGTCGTGATTATGCTTCGGCTGATTATCTGGTTGAGTGGATGGGCAACAATCATTGTTGGGTCTCTGTGCCTTGTGCCCTGAATATATGTAGTGCTCCGTATCCGTACATTGCACAGTACGACCACGACGACGACAAATGCTTACACTGCGAAGCAAATTGGACAACATGGCTCGCCGCGAGTCGACGACAAGGGTGTGACCGGCGTCGCCATGTTGCATCCTCGGCGACGGCGACACAGTCCCTCGAGGAACCAGAATGCGACCCAAAGACTTGGGTTCAATGGAATATGGGCGGATTCCTGGAGCCCTGCCCTCGAGGAACCATGCATATTGAAACATTGCAGTCTCAACTCGGGGGTTGGGTGGGCATGAAGGTGGATGGCTCATCCGATGGGAACCTCGGATGGACGGATGCATCGCAGTTGGGGGCCAATCTCGGAGCAAAAAGAGGAGTCGACGAGCATTTCTCTCTATCCATCTGTACGGAATATTCGTCCATGCGTTGGACATCTTGGTAACATCTTTCCCAAGAGTGAGCCTCCGTCAGCAGAGTTCACGGTGATATTGACATGTAATTACCAGTACTCGATAATTGTCACCTGCATGGCAAAGTTAGAAACAGGACGCGACGATCCATGGCATGCAAAGGGCCCCATGCCGTGATGATCTGGACTCTGGAGTGACAATCTAGCGTTGTTCGTGCCTATGGATACCTCCTGATAGACACAACAAGCGGCGTCTCTGTTGAAAAATTGCAGACTTTCTCCTTCCCAATCTAACATGTCATATCAGTCAGTCAGTCAGTCAATCAAATCAATCAGCGAGGCACAATCAATCGGACTGGGAGACCAGGGCCTGGATCCTTCTGGTCGCCGAGCGTGGTGCACTCTTTGCATGCTGAGCCGTCTTACTATGTACTTCGTACAGCGTCGGGCTCTTGGCAGCAATCACCCTTGTTCCTGGGCTTTACCAGGGCCCCTTGCGGGACAAAATCACCAATGGTTCCAGTCCATACCGAAGAAGACTGACTGTCAGCATCACTTCGGGTACAGAGTGCAAGGAAAGAAGAAGCTTGCAAAGACTTCTTCTGGGGTCGGCCGCTGGCGTTGGCGCTTTGTCATAGCCGGGGCGTCCCCCACGAATCTACCTTGCTGCCAGTCTCTACTCCGTATTCCCTGGGAACGCGACATGGGGACAAAGAAGCCTTGGAAAGATGGGGGCACGAAGCCTGGTCATTTGGACTACGAATATCCTCGTTCGGAGACGAACCAAACCAATGTCAAGCAGCAGATCCCTTCCAAAGTACGAACAGGCATGGCATTCTGTGTACAGTAGTGTGCATAGCGGGTTCCGGACACCCAGGGTAGATGACTAGGCCAAATCGGCTGCAGCTTTCGAGTGTGCAGCACTGCAGATGCCGACGGACGGGACGGAGGACGAGGACAAGGACGGCGTTGGACGCTCGGTTCAGCAAGGGCTGTATCCGTATGGCCGGCTCCTAGCCAAGGCAAGCAAGGCCATGTAAGGCCGAGCAGGGCAAGGTACATGTCAACGGGCGTTTTTCAGGTTGGCCCAGCTGCAGAAGAGACAAGCCGCGAAGGCGACGGACGCGAAGGCTGGAGTGTGAAGCAGGCATGACTTGGATATCTGGGGGATATGCCCCCTTCCTTCTCATTCTGCGAGCTCGTCTCATTGACAGTGTCAGTGTCAGCTTACCTTGGTCCGCGTGTGACCCGGTGTCTTGCTTTACTTCTGCTGCTTTGTTTCTAGTTTGTTATTGTGTTTCCCTCTTTGCAGGTTCGCCATCTTACCTTACGACTGGATCAGCCACGCGCGGACTCGACGAAGCTGTCCGGGAACCGAGTGATTCCCATACTTCACCGGGCCGGCCGAACGACACCTAGCTGCGTACAGACGGGCGTTCTCCACGCAATCGCTACGACACTACGGATGTTAAGGGATCCTTCGAGCAGAATCCGAAACTTGAGCGGTGGCGCGAATCCCACACAGAAACAGCGATACTCTGTTGACTCTGGATCGGTTTTCTCGGCTCCTACGTATAAATCGAGTACGCACCACGTCTTCTTGGCATCGTTCGGTCGTCGAAAAAGAATTGAATTGAATGGATGCTGCTGCAAAGAGGTCTGATTTGTGATCTTGGCATGCATCCTTCTTTCCATCCACGCTGCTCTCATCCGGCCATTTTCATCTCACCAAAACGCATCGAGTACCTACCTGACCGGGGCCTTTCATGATCCACAAACTATTTTTGAGCGTACGTGAGGAGTCATTCTTTTTGCTGCCCGAAGCCAATTTCCTCTTTCCGCTCTGCCCTCTGAACCATGCTGATGAGTGACTGCCTTTAGTCCCGTCGTCCAAGGTCCCATTCATCTGAAGCGGAACACACCGAGCGAAGGAAGACGACTCTTTCCTAGATACACAACCTGCAGAAAGAGAAGAACCGACGAGCGAAAATCAAAACGAAACAGACGATAGAGAAGAGGGAGAAAAGACAAGGTGGAAAAGAAAAAAAAACGTAGAAGGGAAAACTCGGCCGCATCCGCCCATCTCAGCGGGCGCAATAGACGCACCACAAACGCCCAAGACACCCTAAAACGGACCGTCATTTGGGGAACGACACGCCACAGGAGCAGCGCCATTGCCCCCCCCCCCCCCCGTCGGGAACCTTCTACCCCAAATCGGCTGGGCTCCCCGCTGTCCGTACCCCAGTGCTCACCAACTCACTCTCACTCTCACTCTCACCCTCACCCTCACCCTCACCATCACACTCGCTCTCTTCACCATCTCTCTCATCTGCGTGATTGGGCTCACCTCACCAGGCTCATCTCAGGGAGCACCCGACTGCAGCAACAAATCCTTACCTGTCCCGTACCTTACGGAGTACCTACCTTACGTTGGTTACCTCGGTACCTTATCAGAGTTAGCTCCCTCATTCCATGCTCATTTCGACTCCCTACCAGGTCCCCCCAAAGGTACCTTATCTACCCATCCAAAGCACCAATCAGGGCAATTTGTACCTGAGGTTCCCTGTACCGATTACATTCCGTACTTAGGTACATTACGGAGTAAGGTACTCTGCAGCAGTGTACCCTAGGTACAGTAAGGCACCTAAGGCAGGCACTTGCCAGGTTAGGTCTTTTAGGGGACTTTTGAGTCGTCTTATCTTATCTCGACTCACTCTGGGGGTGGGCTGCCATTCACTCACCTCTGTCTGTCTGTCTGTCTGTCTGTCTGTCTGTCTGTCTGTCTGTCGTCTCTCTCCCTCTCTGTCTCTCTCAATTTCATCACTTCCTCTTCCTCTACGGAGATCCTTTGTGCAGCTCTTCTCACGTCTTGAATATCGACGTTCGCGACAGCTGCAGTCGCTACAGCATCCTTTCCATACCAAACTCCTGGGATAACCTGTAACTCGTTCAGACCGGGACTGGCCCATCCACAGCGCGTGAGCGGCTCTTCGTGAGCAAGGCCTCTTTACCGGCAGAATCACCCGTCAACATGTCCGGCCGAAGCGCCTATGTGCGCAAGAAGATCACTCAAGCCGAGAAGGAAAAGGCGAGGGCAAGATCAAATACCGGCGGCATAATAGGAGAATATGAAGACCTCACCATCCCCGAGTTTCCGCTTCCCCAGACCGGCGCATCTTTACCCGTTGGCACCGGCATCGGCACTACAAATGCACGCTTCCTCAAGTTCTCAGAGCCTCCACGCGACATCAAGCCAGGCACACCCAGCATAGGCAGTGGCAGTGGAAGCAGTGAGGGCGGCCGTCGTGACGGGAGCTCCGGCCCCCTAGACGACTTCGCCTATGCCCGCGCCCGGAGACCTACCATCAAGACGGAAGACGTCTCGGGCATTGAGAAGTCGGGTTTGCGAAGCAGGCTGGACAAGAAGAGCGAGGATGTACGGAGAGGCCTGGCCAAGACTTTCACCTTCAAGCGCAAAGACAAGGAACTCGACTTCCGTCCTGAATCCGTCGCTACTGTACGCCCGGGTCAACATCAGAATCCCGCCCCAATGTCTCCCACGGAGCTCGACTACACCTATGAACAGTTCAACATGGACACGATGCAGCAGATGCACATACAGCGGCAGATGCACATGCAACAGCAACAGCAGCAGCAGCAGCAGCAGCAGCACCAATACCACATGCAGCACATGCAGCACATGAATCAACAAATGCGACATCAGGATATGGATCTGCCTACATCACCACCCCCGGCATCGAAGCTGCCTCCTGTGCCGACCACGCCGCCCATCAAGCGATGGATCGGCGCTGGAAGACCTGTTCAAAGGTGGAATAAGCTACGCAAAGACCCCGAACTGTGGGATCCGAATGGTGATGTTCTCGTCTTCTTCGGGCACAAGGGCCAAGCCCCACGGCCGAACCCATCCTTCAGACTATCCTCACACATAATCGAAGCGACCGAATCGAGGTATCTCATCACGTTGCTTCGGGAGGGCACAACCGAGGAGGACATCTACATGCCCCCATCTCCACAGGGTGCGCCACCCATGCTTCGGCCACACATGCGCGGTGGGCAACCGACACCGCCCATCTCGGAGGATCTCGGCGAAGCTGACGGGCAAATTTCATACGAAATGTACTTCCCGACTCCTGCAAACATGACCAAGACAGAACAACTCAGAAGCCATATTACAACAAGAAACGTCTTTGCCTTGCTCTATCACGCATCTCTGGTCGGGTTGACGCTTCACCAGGCTCTCTCCGACCTGCACATGCGATTGGATGCCTACATGCCACCGGACGCGGACAACGTCGGCATGATCTTGAACTATCTGTCAGCCCGGGGAATAGATGACGTGCGCAACGACCCGGAAACGGCTGTCAGCTTGCTGGCGTGGTCTGAAGGGTCAGCTGTGCGATGGGAGGAGGGCTGGCGGGAGAGTTTTCTACACTGCGCCGGCATGTACAGCCAGCTGGAGACATGCGCCGACTTCAAAGACCTCACGCCCATCACCCGCGCGCTCCTGGAGCGGGCATGTCTCGAGACGCAGCTCCGCGTCCAGGCGGCCGAAGAAAGACTCGTGGAGTTCCAGTATGGCGACCTGTGGCCGGCAGGTGTTGGTGGTCAGGCAAAGGCGGCTGCAGACCGTTTACAAAAGTTCTTCTTGAACCACTACCTTCACTCACAAGGAGCGTGGCCGCCGGCTCAGACAACTGGTCTCCCAGACTCCGACGGCGAGGACATATGGCTTACAAGGAGCGTGGCACAATCATTGCAAAAGGACTTTGGGGCGCTGTATGACTACCTCGTCAACCGCGATATTGTCTGGGACATGTCCGAGGCGCGATCAGGGCGCAAATGGATGATGCAGAGCGAAAAGGACAAGGGATTTGACGCCGACATCGACATTCCCATCACAGACATCCTCGTCGAGTTCGACAATAAGTTGCGGTTTCCACATATCCCTCATCCATACCCCATGGTACCCGAATCCATTCCGCCAGCGCCGTCAAAGGAGAGCTCCATGTTCAAGAAGAAGACTGGCGCAGGTGCCAACAACGGTGGCCGAGCGGGTGCCCTGGAACGACGAGTTCAGTTGGCATACACCGAGGCCACTAACATTTATATCCTTGGTTCTGACTTTACACAATCGGACCTAATTGACGCCTTTGTGAAATTCGAAAAGAGCGACAGTGTCACTGAGGTCGATCCGGCCGTAGCCCGACGGGGACGTTGGGTTCTGATCTACGGCATTCTACAGACGCTGGCGAGTGTGTCGGTGGACGCCCCCAACGTGCGATACCGCGACGGAGTGCCGTATCATCTGTCTCCGCGCCTCAGGGGCACAAGAGTCCCTCCGTGGAAGGGCTCCAGCACGACAGACGAAGCCTCGCACGAGCTATCTCACTGTTGGATAGTACAGCTCAGCTGGAACACGCCGAACAACGGCGGCGCTGAGAGTTCGGGCGGATCGGGCAATACCAGTCCAGTGCAAAACCTCGCCCGCCCATTTGCGTACCCGCGCGCCCCGGCTTCGACGACATCGCGAGGGTCTGGGTATCAGACGACCGGGACCCGGTCCATCCACTCGACGGGTTCGGCGCCTCATTTCAGCTCGGCGTACAGCGTCGTTAGCGAAAGCGACACAGCCAGCAGCATCCGTACACCAGCATCCAGTCGACCTGGTACCAACATGAAGAGAGCGCAGTCGCGAGATAATGTCAAGGGCCTGGGCGGCGGACCGGGAAGCATGCGCAGTGCCGCCACGTTTGGCGGCACCGGCGCCGGCGGCGTAGAGCGAGGAGAGGCAATGGAACTGCCCATTCGAAGGCGTGACTTGAGCGCCTTCTTGGATAATAACGGCTCCCACGGCAATTATGCGCGATCCAGCAGCGCCTCGCAGCACGAGCAGCAGTCGCTCCCCTTGCCAAGCAACATCACGGGATCAGGAGGCTTCCTTGCATTCGACGACACGTTGGATAGGAAGAGCGCGCGGGGTGGGTATAGTCATGGACGAGTGAAGCGCGAGGGGTCTGAGACGGACAGCATGGCGCCACGAATTCGGGACTTTGATTTGGATGTGATTGATGATCATGAGCCATGAGGTGGACGAGGCTAGGGCAGCCAAGCCATTTTGGAGATGGAGCTGGCGTGATGGGACGAAATAATTTTTGTATATATTCCTGAGCTGATGCCAGGTGGCCAGTTGTAGATATCTTGGGCTGGCTTTGAGTTTTCTCTTTATTTGGAGGTGGACATAAAAGTTGGAGACGGGATAGTTTAGTTAGTACCTTGCTTGTGTTGATTGAGTGATACCCGCCAATTTGCTCGTACTGTTTTTTGGACGAATGAGATACGAATCACTACCTGATTGTCGCCAGTCTGACCTACCTTGGAATAGATACATGTGATAGCATTAGAAAGGGAGGCGTGAGTGAGGTGTGATATTGGATAGACTGTAGCTTGTCTGGACGCTCGTCAAGATGGTTTGGCCCAGACTGGTTAATCGGGTCAAGGATCCTTAGCTAAATGGCCCCCTTCTACTTGGGTTGGAGGTCAGAATAGGGATGATTAGGATCACGAGGATCGTGGCACAGGAAAAGGCGCAATTCAGAGACATTTGTTGGTCGTCAGAATCGACGGCGGCGGTGACGTGGTGTACCCATCCAGTAGCTTCTCGTTACCATTGTCCCATTCTCGTAGTCTTGAGACTCCACTTGGGCCGAATCAGGGCCGTGTTGCTGCCGTGATGTTTGAAGCCGTCGCCGGCGATGCGGAGTGCAAGCGTGAAAGAAACCATACTCTGTGCATGCACGTACGGATGCACTCCGTAAGGTACACTACGGGTCTACATACTTGGTATGAAGGCGCGAGGAGGGAGAGACGATGTCGCGATGGGATTTTGAGTGGGAGGGATGGGTCGAGGCCAGCGGCCCAGCCCCAGACCCCAGGCCCCAGCCACCTCATCATCTCCACTCTTTTATTTTATTTTTCTTTCCCCCGGCGGTCATGGTGGATGATGATGACCAGCCCCGCCGATTTTAGGTTGGAGTGGTTCCTCGTGCAACAGTACCGGGGGTCTTGAAAAGACACAGGATTGGCCGAGATGATTGCAAAACTCCACGTTGGATGAGTTGTTTGCCGTTGGACGGTTGGGGACTTGGGGTCTGCCTGTCTGACCCTGAGGCTGCGAGTGTCTGGACCATGAGTCTATGGCTTTTTGCTGGCCGGAAAACCAAGGTCTCGTAAGGTGTATGTGGCCGTACCAAGCTGTGTTACCTCGACTGAGATACCTCAACGGCTTCTGTTCCCGGATCGAATGAGCGAGTCCGGCCAGCAGTAATGGTGTGGATAGACAATGCGATGGGCAGAATTGACAGGGCAAGAAATCAGCCATCAAAAATGAGCGCATCGCCCGGTTGTTTTCTTCTCCATTCTGCAGCACCTTTGATTGGAGAGACTGGACAGTCTAATCTGTAAGATGACGGCCATGTATGCGTATAGATGCCGGCGAGAGAGTCGCGAAGAAAGATGGTGTTTTTGTGAGGTACCTTGCAGAGTAGGTACCTTGCAGTGCAGGTAAGGTGCCATGATACTTGGTGGACAGACACGACAGAGTACCTTACCTCGCAGTAGGTAGATGTGTACACAGTAAGGTACCTATGGAAGCAAGTGCAGGGTGGAAGGAAAGTGCAAGGGAAGGAACTGGGCAGGCCGCAGATGGCACCTCAGGCCTCGGCCAAAAGGGGACAGAGAGGAGGCCGATCGCCGACGTCATTGCTGGTGACGCACCTCACCTCACCACAGCTCACTTCAACCAGGCTTCATCAGCAAACACCTCTCTCTTACCTCACAGTCCTCACATTACTTGCCCTTTACCCTCTACCGAGTTTTCGGGCTAGATCTTACCTTACCAATTGAAGTCAGACATCCTTGGTCATTCGTACCGGGTGCAGAGTACAGAGTACATTACATAGTACGGGGCGGACACTCGAGAGAGAAATCAAGGGTGCTCGGGCTCCCGCTCTGCGACATGCTTGTCTCCAGTCCGTGTCATTGTTTGACGGCCGTTTGCTCGTCCCTGGCCCTTGGAGACAGCCATCAAGTAAGGCCGTGCAACAATAGCCATACCCAACAAGCCATGTCTGCCTGTCTATATGCATATCCAAGGTGCGAGAGAGAGAGCGCGAACCGCTGCACCGAGCTGCGCAGCCGGAACCCTCTTTCTTCCACCATAGTGATTCCCGGACCCATGTGAATCTGTCACTTTATGAGATTGTGAGGCCTTCATCCCCGTTCCTACCTATTCCGTCCCATCGCACACCTGCCTCTCCACCTCATGGTTGATCCAATCCACACGAGTGCGAGATTGAAATTTACAGACAAGAGTGAGAGTGAGAGTGAGAGTGAGAGTGAGAGCAAAATATGGTAGATACAACAGGAAATGACAAAAAGGCGGGAAACGGGCAGGGTATCCGGCATCTTGGATGTTACATTGGCCTTCCTTACCTTACCTTTTTGCTGCCTCACCATCCATGAATGAAATGCTCGACCATTCTCCTTTCACCTTGCACTACACCTTGACATCTCCATCATCCTTGGCCCATGCAATCCTTGACTGGCAACCCGCGATCCAGCCCAACCTCCCCCATTCGAGTACCACACACCAACGAATTGCACCTGTTTACCACCACGACGAAATAAACCTGGCCTTGCGCATTGCGACTTACCTTGCTTTTTTATTTCTCCTCTCTCTCTCTCTCTCTATCTACGCACACACACCTACACCCACGCGCATACTCCCTCGCCCACCCCCCGGTCTAATTTTGCTATTGCTGCCCACCCCGGATGGGCTTGTCCCAACTTGCAACTTGCAAGACTTGCTGACCCAAACCCAAACCCGACCTGCATTGGCTCTGTTTCTGGCTCACACACGCAAGTCACGCCTTGTTTATTTAATCACCCTTCCCACCCCATCCCAACCACCCGCCCGTTCATCTGAAAGGGCTCTATTAAAAACAAAACACGAGCGACAGAAACCCCCCTCCCCCCGAGCTCGCGGGACTTTGATTTTTTGCTTTCTCACTTACCTGCTCTACCTACCTTGGCAGCTCCCCTTCATCGATAGCCTTTGTCTTTGTCGATCTCAAGACTCTTTGAATCCGTAGTCGCCTGTCGCAAGCGCAGTAACAATAATAACACCACCGCTACCGCCGGCGCATCTTGTCGCAGCTTGTCGCATCTTTTCCACACAGCAACCGGTAGCTTCTTGCCTGGCCGTTTGGGCTCCCAACCGCCCGCCATGTTGTTCGCCGTCATGTTCGCGGCGACGCGATTCCTCCAAATCGTCACCTTGGTACGTTTTCCCCCTCGTCGATACATTAACTCAACTACTCAATTTTCTTATTCTTTATTTTTTTGTAAAGAAAATTTCAAGTTTTGTTTCAACTAACACAATGTCACAGATCCCAACCATGGGCATGCTCGCCTGGTTCGTCGATGGCTTCGTAAAGCGCAACGTTATCGTCCCCGACTCTATCCTTGTCCTCTTCATCGTCTCCGTCCTCGCCCTCGCCTGGGCTATCTTCACCCTCTTCAGCTATCACCGTAGCAGCACAAATGCACTCTTCGTCGCAGTCATCGACCTTGGTTTCGTTGGTGCCTTCATTGCCGCCGTCTGGTACCTTCGCGGCATCAACTATGTCGACTGCACAAACCTCGCACGCGACGGCCGCTGGTCTGCAAACTTCCCCGGCCTCGTCACCATCTCTGGGCCCCGCTTCAACCTCTTCACCGATAAGCCCTGTGCCATGCTCAAGGCATCTTGGGTCTTTGGCATCATCAACACCATCCTCTTCTTCTTCACCGCCGTTCTCGCCTGGATGCACGGTGACCGCCTGTCCTCCAGCTACGAGCGCAAGTCCTACCACCACGGCCGTCACCGCCGTCACCGCTCCCACAGCCACCGCTCCCACAGCCGTCGCAGCTCCCACTCTCACCGTCGCGTCTACGTTTAACATCTCTTCAACCGAGATTGACGATAATTGCAATGCATTTCTTTTTTTTGGGGGGGGCAGAGGGGGGGGGGGAGGGAGGGGCAGGGAGGGATTTGACGACTTGTACAAGAACGAGAAAAACAAGAAGACAAGATAAGATACCATGACATGATACGATAGGATGTGGAGAGCATATGACCGATGCTCAGGGATGGTTCATGTAATTCCAGCGACCCGGCGGATGTAGTGGACGACATACTCGTTTATGATGACGAATCTAACGGCATTAATTCACGACATCTTTTTTCTGCCGTGCTTTGCCTTTGCACAGGCCATTATCGTTTGCCTGTATCCGGCTTGGTGATTGTCTTGTACTTTCTCCTCATCCTTACCACACTCAGAACGACTGCTTGGCTTGGCCGAACGACTGGCCATGATGTGATCTGCGGTGGGTGTGCAGGCCAAATCGCACTTTCAGAACACGGCAGCAATGACATGTCAAATCACGATGGAAAAATTGGTATCTTGAGGTTCTCACTAGTAGTCTATGTGTATGTGTGTTTTTGGTACCCTGCCCTGCGCCGATTCAATGTAACCCGTCAGTCGTCACTCTTATTCATGCCCTGCCAGCGTCCTCGCCAACCGTATAACCCCGCGCAACACCGCTCCGGCCCTCCTCGACGACGGTGCTGCTCTCCTCGTCGTAGTCCGTTCCGAGACCCTGCCACGTCCGTTGCGATCGCAAGTACTCGGCACCGGGGCTTAGCACGCCGTTGATGGTGGCCACCTCGCCCATTGCTCTTTTCACCAAAGCCGACTCACCAGGCTTTTTGCTGCTGCTGCTGCTGCTGCTTTCCTCCTCGTCGTCGCCGCCGGTCTTGGATTCGCTGTTGGCCGACCGTATCGGCATTCTCATCGGCCGACTGGCCACCAGCTTGCCGGTGCGCAAGTCGTATTCTGGCGGCGCCGACTCGTCCTCATCCAGCTCCTCCTCCTGCCTGACCGCGTCGTGGTCCATCTTCTCGATACCACCCCACCACTCGAGGCCCCATACGCGCTCGCTCTCAGGCTTCAGCGCCACCTCCATCTCAAAGGGCGTGATGACGGGCTTGAAGAACCCGGCGTCCTCTTCCACTAGGCCGCTCTCCCAACACCCTACGACGACCCAGCCGTCGACCTCGGCAAAGTTGGCCAGCTTCGCGGCATTCAGCTTGCCCACCACGACCGTGTAGCTCTTTTTACCAGCTTCGGCGATACGCCGGCGTAGGAGGTCGATGCTTCCGAGGTAGTTGGACACGGAGAGCGTGTTGACGAGGATGCCCACTACACCGGCCGTGGCCAGGGTTAGCACGCGGGCGAAGCGCCGACGGAGGAGGGCATTTGTTGTTCGTGTTGGATCGTCGGTCGACAGGCTCGGCGTCGAGAGAACATGGAGAGAGGCCATGCGGGTCTGGAGCGCGAGGAGGAGCGCTGGGGGCGGTGTCGAGATGTGGAAGAGAGAGTGCTCGGACAGGTCGGTAGTTGGGGGGGCGTCCGATGAGGAAGAGTCGACGATCTTACGGTTTGGGATCGTGCCGGTCGGGTCATGTGTCACTTCGGTCTGCAGCAACGCTGTGTATCCCGCGGAGCGCAATTTCGTCGTGAGGGGAGCGACGTGGTCCTGATATGTGACGTCGGCCACCACAACCACCTTGTGCTGCTTGTCGTGGAATTCTTTAGTAAAGGCCTCGACTGCTTGGTCAATGTCGAGGGTGTGCCGCGTAAAGACGTAAATGACGGGCAGCCTCGACGTCGGTGATAGGCATGAGCGGCCGTAGTGTACGACAATCTGGGCGTCGGCGTGCTCGGCCGCGATCTCGTCGACGCAGCAGGCGCTGTAGGACGTGTCGGCAAGGATGTACACGCGATAGGTTTCGCTGCCGCCCAGAGCTTCCGTTAGCGCCTCTGCGACCCACGAGGCGTCACGTAGCATGGCGTCAGGGAACTGGAGGGCGACGCGGTTCCAGCCGCCCTCCTTGATCTCGCGCGCCGTACGCTCAATCTCGTAGACGGAAGCGAGCTCAACTTGGGTGCGCTCGGCGGTCGGTGGAGGTGGGGGCGTCGGTGTCGGGTCTTCGAAGGTGTGTTCGGCGGGCGTCGAGAGGACGGGCGCCGCTGATAGTTCTGTCATGGCCGCCAGCTGTTTGCGAAGGCCAAGAAAAAACTTTTTCTTTCTGGTAAACGGGTTGAGGAAGAGGAATCAGTCGATGGCGGGGTCACGCTAATGGCGGGGTACTAAAAATCAAGGTCAGGCCCAGGTTCACCTTGTCGGTGAGCTCGGTGTAGATATGTTGATTAAGTGATACCCACTTTGAATTGGAAACTCTTGTAAGTCGATTGGTCAACGATCTTCTCATTGAGCACACCGCGGGAGGCTATGGGCGGCTCTCGTCTTTCACTGGTAAAGCACACAATCCTAATATTGCAATGTCCATTGGAATTGTTCGTTAAAGGAGATAGCATGATTATTTTGGGGGGAAATCACGACCGATTTCATAATCGATTTCTCTGCTTCTAAGCTGGTACTGGTGCTTCTACGGATGTTCTTCCTTAACGTTGATCATTATCGTGAAAAATGGTATTATTTTGGGACTGAGTTTGCCTATTCTATGATGTCTCCTCATTTCAGAGCTTATAGGTACCTAGAACAGGCCAAAACAATTGGCGTAATAGGTGACAGTGGCACTCCAGTCCGAAAAGATGCTCAAGACACCAACGTCTTGGGCAAGCACGTGGAGCAGGTTATAGACATCGCCGTCATTGTTCGTGACGTTGGCGATGGAAGTGTAGTAGTAACCGCCCTTGGTGTCGTCTCCGAGGAAGCCAGAACGCTCCAAAGACCATGAGATGATCTTGAGACCCAGCTCCTTGGCCCTGATCGCATACGAACTGGGCACAATCTTGCCATCTTCGACGGTGACGAGGTAGTACAAAGGAGGGGCCATGATCTTGACACCAGCAGCAGCAAACTGGGTCAGGTTGGCAACAGCTCCCGGGTAGGTCTCAGGGGTATCTCCACTCTCGTCCAAGAGAACGCCCTGCTTGCCGAACTCGGGCTCGGCCTTGAGCCAGTACAGGATATCAGGGTAGAAGAACGACTGAGGCCAGACCCGCTCAGGGGCAATGCCGCCTTCCTTGTACTCATCAATCAGCTGTTGCGCGTACTGTTCTTGCGTGTAGTCTCCCTCGAAAGGCATCTTAACCTCGGGAACCTTGAGCTCGGGAGTGAATTGAAGACCTAGGTCGTTGGTCATGGCGATGTGTTCCTTATGGGTCATAACGGTGCCGCAGGTAGAGTACAGGTCGGTGCGGTATCTCGGGGTACCAAGCAAGAAGTCTTTGGGGTTGACGGCCGAGGCATTGAAGCCATCCATCTTGCTGCAGAGAGTCTTGAACTCGGCGACGGTGATGTCCGAGGTGCAACACTTGGCGGTCGCGGCCGTACCATTGCCGGCGGGGGTGAAGGGAATAGTGCACTTGGCGTTGAGTTCGGGTATGGTAACGATGTTGGTCGTCGTGTGAAGATCGCACTGGGAGTGACGGCAGACTAGTTGACGGTCCTTGGTGAAGGCAACATCGCACTCAAGAACACCAGCACCCATACGCGCACCGGCAAGGTTTGATTCGACTGACTCTTCGGGGATCATCAGAGTACCGCCGCCACGGTGCCCAATGCTCCAGCTGGAGGGCTTGATGGGCTGCTCTGAACACGACTGCAGTTTTTCCTTAAGAGGGCCCTCGTCCATGTCGTTGACCAGCCAGTAGGGTCTCGGTCCCAATTGAATGCTGGTGATGGGCTTGTAGACAGGAGCTGGCTTGGGACAAGGGACAGCATTGACTTGGCGGGAAGCGACAGCCACGAGGCCCGAGACGACGATGGAGTTGAAATGCATCTTGACTGGTGGTCGATGATGATTTGTCGATGCCTCGCGCAACGAAGGGACTCAGCGATCAACAGAGAACTCGCCGGGAGCAACGCCGAGGGAGGAAGGACTGCGAGAGCTGGAGCGGGAGCTGGAGATGAGAGAGACGGAGAGAGAGGGAAGCGGCCGGTCGCTTGAGCGGACGCGAGTCGAGGTGACCCCGTCTTATGTAGGTCGGTCTTCAGGAGCCTGAAGAGCGTGGTGGTTGTTCTGCCAAGACAACCAGCAGCTGCAATGACGGATAGCTCTGATGAGGGTCCCCGGGGTAGAATACGTGGTTTACGATAACCAACGCATTGCTAGTCTCTCAACGTGATGCTGAGCAGTTCGTGGAAAGCTGCAGATTGGATAGGCCCTGGCAATATGCCGGGCCACATGCTTGCATTCGGTATAGCCGTCTGATGTCTTCCCTGTGATGATTTAGTAGCGCATGTGTATGTTTCCGTCCCGTGTATGGAGTAGGTCCTTGAAAGACAGGGGCAAGGTCAGCACCACCCACAGCATTCGCAGCGTGGAATAAGATGAATGGGGAGGGGGGGGGGGGAGGGCTACACGGTTGGCCGCAGAATGCGCTGGGTATCAGCACGTGTCAACGGAAGGATCATGTCCCTGGAAAGAATTGAAGATATTGCGCAGTAGTACTGTAGAGTCGTCCGTCCGTGTAGATACCATCTATGGAGGAATACTAGCCTCCTCAAGTTTGTTTGCTTCCCAGGACTATTACCCTACCTTAGGTACTGCGTACTGTGAGTGTGTACTGAAGGTTGTAAAAGAGGGCAAGAGTGAGGGGTCAACGGCGGCACGGCCCCACTAGATGTCCTTGGCGGCCCCGCACCTGCTATGGAGCAGAGCTGCGTGCCAGAAGGACGCCCCCTCATTCGCCAATTGGGCCATCCCAAGCTCCGATCCCACCCACCTCACCTCGGGGCTGATAAGGAAGGAAGGTTGCCATCCCACGTCTTCCATTCATCCCAATGAGGTGCCCTACCGCTGCTGCATACCTTAGGGAAGGTAAGGTACCTCAAGGTAAGGCAAGGTACTCAAGTACTTAGGTCACTG